TGGACTATGGTAAAACCATTAAGCCGATTAATACCACGGAAAGATTGATTTTGGCCTACAAACTGCTCAGGACAGTTTTGAGATGGCTAGCTGAGATGATCCAGACTGACAGACTACTTGAAACAAGCCCTGCACTTTCTCATTATGCAGAAACTGGACAAATGATACAGGACTTGACAATTAACCTAAACATTTTCTTTTCAGTATCCACTAAAGACATCTTCACCCTAAAAAGCAGGAAGTAATTTTAAGAAAACAATGCCCATATTTCCAAGAGATGGGATGGGAGGTTTTTGGTCATTTAATGAGTCATGGATATTGTCATTGTTTACAATGTTTGGTTACAAGTTGTTGATTGTTAATGGTCAGGAAAAAAAGCTGAACAAGGAGATCAGATTCAGAGGTTTTGTTTAAAAAAAAAGAAAGAAAAGGAAAAAAGAGAATATAAATATGAAGTAGATCAAATCTACTCTGAGAAAAAAGATAAAGAAATAATAGGATAAATGGGTAGATTACTGAATCTATTATGAAAAGAAAAAATACTTTTAAAAAGGAATTACTCGTTTTAAATAGGATAAGTAGTGAAATTTTTTGTCTGAGTTTATCAAATGTTACTGAACTGGACACTGTTAATATATACAATGGAGTTTTTATCTGAATCTGTCAAATGTTAATGGACTAGACATTGTTAATGTAATCTTGACTGTGTATATATTGTATATACTTATTGAATAGTTTTTCTTGTATTAGTTATAAGCTTTTTTTAATTTTAGACAAAAAGAGAGGAAATGTGGTGGTATTGTGTTCCCCAAAACATTGTGCACCCTAATAAACTTATCTGGGGCCAGAGACAGAACAGCCACTAGATACAAAGGCTAGAAAATGGTGGCACTCACAACTTTAATCCTAGCATTCCAGAGGTAGAAATCCCTCTGGATCTGTGAGTTCAAGGCCACATTGGAAACAGCCAGGCATGGTGACACATGCCTTTAATCCCAGGAAGTGAGCCTTTAATCCCAGGGAGTGATGGCAAAAACAGGAAGATATATAAGGCATGAAGACCAGAAGCAAGAAGCATTTGGCTGGTTAAGCATTTGGCTGGTTAAGCATTTGGCTAGTTAAGCTTCAGGCATTTGAGCAGCAGTTCAACTGAGAGCCATTGGGATGAGGACACAGAAACTTCCAGTCTGAGGAAACAAGACCAGCTGAGAAGTTGGCCAGGTGAGGTTAGCTGTGGTTTGTTCTGTCTCTCTGATCTTCCAGTGTTCACCCCAATAACAGGCCTCAGGTTTGTTTTTATTAATAAGACTCTTTAAGATTCTTGCTACAGACAACATGCTGGTGAACTCTGGGAAACTTACTCCATTAAGATCCACCCTACCAGGGCAGTATATGATGATTGCTAGTTTTTTGAGATACCTTTTCTGTATAGGTAGAAACATTCCATACTCAGACTGAAACTGCCTGAATAGTAGCTTTAAAAGCTCCTCCAGAACCTGATACCTTGATTTGGCCTCACCCTTTAAATGGGATCTGATAATGACCTGGATTTCATAGCCAAAATCTCTCAATTAATAGCTAAGGCTTAAGATGTAAATTGAAAACTTCCTTATGCATACAGACCTCAGAGTTCTGGGCATGTAGAAAAAATAAACAGGGTGTTAGAAAAACTCTAACAAAACTCTCATTAGAGTCCAGCAAAGTGTGGATAGGCCTACTTCCCTTGCTATGCTTTTGGCATCCTGGCCTCCATATAGGAAAGGATTCACTGCCTATGAAGTATGTTTGTAAGATCTCTCCCACTGCTTCCCAGGCTCAGAGTCCAGCACTGAGCAAATCTGTGTCACCCTTCCTTTCTCCAGTCACTGCAGGCCTTCCAGTTCTCTGCCATGGGTATTCATTGACTACCAAAGAGATTCAGACAGTCTCTGTGTCCACCATCTGTTTCCCCTGGCTTTGCGTCTAATGATACAATCTGGGTCAACTGTGTAGTCAAATGCGCCCAAGAACCAACACAGAAAGGACCATGTATGGAGATTCTCTCCACTACTATGGATGTGAATATAGTTGTCATTTCACCATGGATCCACCACACCCTGGTCAAGAAAGCAAAAGACACAGACACTGATCACCAAAGGACTATCTCTGGACAATGGGTGCATTGAATTAAGGTTTTATTGGGCTCCAGGCCCTTCTACTCCCTGCCCCTCTATCTCCTGCTGAGTCTTGTATTTTCTCCTGTGGTTGTGAGTATGGAGTCAGCGTCCAACCCCCACTGCCCTCAGGCCTGGACTGGAAAGTGAGGAAGAAAGATAGAAGAAAGTTATTAGCTAGTATGACTGCAGGCCAGCAACCCATATTCCATCTTGACCTTTGCTTCTTCATGCCCACTTTCCACATCTGCTTCTATTGCAAAAGGGGAAAATGTAGGGGGATTGCTTCTCTTTTGATGTTGGAATACAGACTTTACAATTTTATGCATGCCTTTTACTCGACCCCCTAATTACCACTAATAAGAGAGTTCCCATTGCAAAAATTGGGGTTTTGTAACTGAGACTTCCTAAAATAGCCATTACAAGGTTCTGGCCTTTGAAAAACAAGAAAAACCTGGGGAATCAGACTCCATTCCACAGGAAGGGGAGCTAGGGACAGAGTTAATCACTTCCATCTGCAAATTGGCCAAGATTGCTATGGTACTTAGACACCTGGGCCCTATAGTAAGTACATAGGGATAAGAACTAACTAGACTATCTGACCGTTGACTGACAAAGTTCATCAGAACTGAGGGCTGCCCATATTAACTTTAGAGGATTTATCCTGGGCAGATCCCCCTCATATTGATGTTTGCTATTCTGCCTTATGGATTAATTCATCTGGATAACAGCAATATACTGAGCCACTGAGACTACTTGGTGGGCATGTACTTAGGGATTGACTAAATGTGTGTCATCTGATGCTTTCCAAACTATATAGACAGTGTAATCAGGACCTAGAGGAATTAAATGTTTCTAATTCTGTATTAAAGCAACAATTAGATTACTTGGAGGAATAGACTTACTTCTCATGAGATAAAGAAATTATGTATGGCTTATGGATAAATCTGTTGTTTCTCTACTAATTGATAAGGAGCAATTAGCAAAAATCTAGTTATGACTGGGGAAAACTTCAAAAGAGAAAGTGATAAAGACATAAATCTGATCATTGGTATCAATCTTTGTTCTTTTGGTGCCTCAGGCTAACTACTCTGCTATTATCATTAGCTAGTTCTTTACTTCTTATTCTGGTCAGAACATTGGGGCTCAGCATCTTAAACTGTGTGGCTAACTATACATCAGTTCATTAAAATCAGTGGTTTAGGACCAACTACACCTTTTTAGAGCAGGATGAGTCCACGATTGGACTCATTTACTAAGACCAGTGGGAAATGTAACAGGGCCACATATCTTCATATGTTCCACACCTTAACATAACTGACTCCATGATGGAAGGCCATTCATGATGTAAAACTCAGCAAGTAGACAGCACTATCAGCCAAAACCAAAGTAAAGGCCAAATCCATTAACATCCAGAGTTCTTAGTCTCTGAATGTACTAAGCTTGCTTTTTGGCTCCTGTACTTCTGCTTTTATCAAACTGTTCTTGTTTATGCACACTGAGAAAGGCCTGGGGCTGCACTGGGATATGATTGCCCAGGGTAGTCACTGGATGGCTAATAATGACTTACTGTAGACTTAAACAGCTGACTGAGCAGTGTCCTCTGGTGGAAACTGTACAACATTTGGCACCTATGGCCTCTGGCAAGGATGAAGCTGCTAAAAGTCCCAATGACATTTCTGGCTTTTAATTAAGAAAGCAACTGGTTCATATTCTTTTTGAGGTCTTCTTTTTCTAAACTGCCTATCCAATTTCTACCTCCTGTTCCTATCTGACCCCATCTGAAGAGGTCTACTGGAATGGAACAACAACTGACCTGGTTTCTTCCAGCTATATCTGGCATGTCAGGTGGCAATTTTGGGGCACCCCACCAGTGGTCTTCTCTAAAAGATCCCAACTGTCAGATATAGAGAGGAAAGGTGGTCTTCGTTAGTGTCTTGAAAAGTTTAAAATATCCAAAATCCATTATGCTTTCTTGATAGGCTCACAAGAGCCCCATCTATTAAACTCCTAATTTTCCTTTGACTTCTAAGATTATTCTCCAGAGATGATGATGATCCCTCAATCATGTTCATGTCCTGCGATGGCTCTTCCATCAGCCAGAAGTGTGTATGATGCCCTTCCCATGTGGATTCTAGATATGGGAAGATAGATATTTACCATCATTTCACGTTTATGTTAAAACAAAACTGGCTGGTCTTCCTTGGCTGGAGGGAACTGCTTCAGAGAGCCAAAGAGTAACGTCTTACATATGGGCAACATGTTTTCATAAAAAAAATAATGAGAAATATTTGTGTAAGTAACATATCCTTCAGAGTTACATCTTATATATCAGTACTTTGATGCCTTGGGTTAACCATTTTTTAGTCTTTGGTTAAACTATCCTGCTGAGTGCTGAAGACCATGTAGATGATTAAAATTAATTTTTCACTCTGTATTCTCAAGTAGGTTGTGCAACTGATCCCCAGCTGTCTCATGGGATTGAAAGAGCCCTCAGATTTCTATAACCTTTTTTTGTTGTCCATCAATGTGAGGATAAGTCAAAAGCCTTGCTTCACCAACTGTGGCTTCATTTGAAACTGGCATTCATTGTCATTTTTTATAGACTGGACAATGTTTCAAATTCATTGAGTGAGCTCTACATTGCCTCTGAGTACAAGAGAATATGTGACTTTCCAGACTTAATAGCACATTGATCAGTGGCCCACAGCCCACTGGGACCTCTTTGACCCTGATGTGGAAATATGAAATGGAAAATATTCTTGCTGTTAATCCCTCTGACCACATTAGAATGGCCTCCAAGTGTGGGTACTGAATATCCAGAAGATCAGAAAGACACAAGTCCAGTACTTTTAACTATTCATAATATTTCAATAGTCAGACATTTTTAATAAACTTTGATTTCACATACATTTTGGCCAATCTTTGAAATACTTGATCTCTGACATTGACAACTTTAATTCACAGTACATCATGTCTAAGTTTCATTTTTTTATGTTCCTTCAATAACTTATTCAGAATCTCAAAACTTACAAAATGTTTTCTAATCTTTTATTCTGGAAAAATCCAACCATCTGCATCTTCATCCATCTAAATCCTTCATTACAAAGGCCATTTCCATATTCAGATATTTCTAACATTTTCTTTTACTTATAGTTTCTTTTCTGCATAACTATCAGACATAGGAATATTAACAAATAAATTTATGATCTGTTATGAGATTTAATCCTGTGCATGGAAGATGAAGGAATGTCTTTCACCTCCCTGTTAAATTCCAATTAGAAATAAAGGCACACTTTCACCAGAGTCTACCTTGTGGAACCAGTGAGTTTTTTGGGCTTACTTACTGATAATGGATGAGGGGATACTGACAGGAGTGTGAGTAACCAAAGGCAACCACATGGGAATGTCTCCACTTTGTTTGTATACTGACTTTTCTACAGTGGCGGGTGTGGAACATTTGTCTTCCCTACATATAAAGCCTAGCTGCTCCTAAACCCCATGATATCACATGAATCAGGGCAGAATTATATTTAATTTGTTGGGAGAGATGCTGGGTGCTCTGAATGATGGTCCAGTGAACCTCATTACCAGACATTGTTTTATAAAAGAAAATCAACAATCAACAAACCTGGTGATGGTCATCTCTTATACACAGGCATGGCTGAATTTAGGAAGATGGCAATTATTAGACTTATGATGACTCTGTGAAATACCACTTTAATAAAAGACAGCTAAAGAGAAAATACATAATAAGATAGGGAAATAAATTAAAGTTTCCTTGCTACATACATTTAAAATAAATCAGACAGGAAAAACAAGACATTGTCCATATAATACATGGCATCTTTATCATAAAAATGATTACAATTTTTAATTGTTGTCTATAACAGATACACAGAAGCAACAAATATATACCAAAACATCATCAAATTGATGTTTACAACATCCAACAAAACTCCACTATAAAATTCAAAATAAAAGTACAGTTGTTTTTACTACTGACATATTTATCTTGCATGTGAAAAATAGCAATATACAAAAGGGAATTGTCTCCTTATAAATTTCACCAGTTTAGTTTACATTCACCAAGAGGCTTGCTATTGAATTCAGAAACAATTAGTGGGACTGAATGAACATGTCTTCCTATTTCCTTATAACCTTTGTAGATTTGTCTAGATGAGTGTTATCATATGTTGTGTTGTGAATGGTGTACAGAGATTACTGTAATAAAAGTTAAAGTACTATATCAGACAAAACACTTGAATGTGAAGAGTCACCTCATACTTTTTTTAAATTATGCTGTGTGGCAGTCAGCACTCATGATCAAAGAAGTCAAAGCACATGAAACCACACAGGCTAAATTCTGCTTTTTAGAGATGGCTTTCTAAATAAATCAGGCTGTCCAGGTAAGAAAAGGTTCAATATAAATTACCATAAGTAATGTGGAATTAAGCAGTCATAGTTTAGAGATTTCAGGATGCAGAAAATAGAAAAATAAAATAAAATAACTGAGAATAGACAGATTTTTTTAATGTATGAGTTCCCTGTCTGCAGGTATGCCTGCAGGCCAGAAGAGGGCATCAGATCCCATTATAAATGGTTGTGAGCCACTATGTGGTTGCTGGGATTGAACTCAGGTCCCCTGTAAGAACAGCCAGTGCTCTTAACTGCTGAGCCATCTCTCCAGTCGCAATAACTGAAAATAAACAACATTATAATGTTCTTTTTCTGAGCAGGGTGGTCTTGACACATGCCTTTAAGCATAGCACTCTGGAGTCAGACGCACGTGGATCTCTACAAGTTCAAGGTCATCCTGATCTACAAAGTGAGTTCCAGGACATCCAGGGCTGCTGTGCGATGGTCTGTATGTCAAGTGTGTTGCTGATTGGTCAATAAATAAAACACTGATTGGCCATTGGCTAGGCAAGAAGTATAGGTGGGACAAGGAGGAGAATAAAGCTGGGAAGTGGAAGACTGAGGCAGAGAGACACTGCCAGCCACCATGATGAGAAACAGCATGTGAAGATGCCAGTAAGCCACGAGCCATGTGACAAGGTATAGATTTATAGAAATGGATTAATTTAAGCTGTAAGAACAGTTAACAAGAAGCCTGCCACGGCCATACAGTTTGTAACCAATATAAGTCTCTGTGTTTACTTAGTTGGGTCTGAGCGACTGTGGGACTGGCAGGTGAGAGAGATTTGCCCTGACTGTGGGTCAGGCAGGAAAACTCTAGCTACATAGGGCTACATATAGAAATCATTTATTGAAAAAATTATTTTCCATAGCTTGTTTATGTCAAAGAAACAAGAAAATGGAAATAAAAGCATGGGTTCCCAGGGCATGCTTGGGCAGACACAAGAATGAACATGAAAGGTACCAGTGCAGTCGCAAGAATATTAAGGAAGAACAGGCATGGTGATTCTAAGTAGGGGACATGGGCATGATTGGAGGCAATAAGACCCAGGATAGCTTCAATCTGTAGCCTCTGGATGTCCTAGATTCTCACTGGCAGAAGCTTGTCTAGCGCCCTGCAATCTATTCTTTTGACTCTCTTGGGATGGGTGATTTCCCAGGACTGGCTCAAGACTAATGCAAATTCACACGAGCCTTCTGACTGTAACCATTGCAAAGTGTTAGAAACTTCCTTTGATACTTGGCTAGTGCTGAAAGGACATGGTTAAGAAAAATCTTCACTCCCCTGTGTAGACCAGTAAATATATTAGGTAATACAATGTGTCAACAGTAAATCAAAACTAACACATACCACTGAAGTCAGATGTCATCTTCAGAGTCTAAATGGGGTAATCCCCTGAGAGCTAAGTTTCCATGATGTTTCTGGATGTTTTCATTTTGGTTCATTCTATGTGGTTTCAGTAACAAAGTAATCAGATGGCATTGGCCTGTTTTTAAAATTAAACCATTATCAAAAATGAGGGCCATGTCACATTACTGCATCCATACTAATAAGATCACAAGCCAATATGACAGCAAATCACATGGTTGCTTTCTGGTCAAGGTTAACTCAGCTTCCCACTCAAGTGAGTTCATCCTCAATTGGGTAAAAGTCTAGATGTGTTCCACATAGCTCAAGGGTTAAATGTACAGTGTTTTATCCATTTCTTTACAATGTCTCTATAGTGAGGTCAGCATAAATATAGGAGATGGCCCCTATGGCTTAGGCAAGTAGGCTCTAAACAGCAAAGGATGAGATGGTAGAATTTGTTGGCATCAAGCAGAGACAGTTGAGTCCATCCATATGTTACCGTAACTGTGGAAGCAAAGAGTTGTCATCCAGCTGTTCACCTCCTTCTCAGTCCCCAAGCACAAGATGTTGTCTGGAACCATTTTAACCCAGTTTCTTAAGCTCTGCTCTGAAATCAGTAGAAATATCATGTTGGTTATAGTGTTTCTTCACAATGAAAAGGTAAGGTGATTCCTAATTCCAGAAAACAACTTCATACAGAACCTGCTGCTGCTCTGCTCCAATGAAATCTGTTTAATCCAAAGCTAGAAGACTATATGGTAATATCATCTACATGCTATTTTTGGTCCTTGAAATGAGAAAGATACAAAATTTAAAGGTAACAGACTCTTCCACTGTGGCTTCATTTCAGCACTGTTTCTGCCACCTGTTTTGCAAAGTCATAGCCCCAGTGAAGAGACTCAGAGTTCATTGCACCAAGTCATGAGCATGAAGTCTGAGTTGCATTTTGAGACCACAATTATGTTGAGATACCAAACCGATGAGACACCTGCTGTGAATAGCTGCATGTAGGGAGTGGAAATATGCAAAGATAAGATGTGTTAGAAATTGCAGAAAGAATTTGAAATTTACTTTGAAAGTAAAGCCCCTGGGAACCTTTACCCATTTCTGCCCCAGTTACTGGCCAGCAGGAAAGATCCTGTGGGCAGGCTCCCCACCAAAACCTCCCACCAGACCCTGTAATCTACAAGACTCATGCCCAACCCCAAATCTACCCATCCCCCTGTGATCCTAGCAGCTTACTGAGACACAGAATCTGCCAGCTCCAATTAGACCAAGGGCTAATATTTGACCCAGAGTGGACCTCTGAGACACAGACACAACAAGCATAATTGGACCAAGAGCAGCTTCCACAGACACAGGCACCTCTTGCACCTGTTGGAGGAAGGGATGGGTAGACACCAGTGCAAAAATACATACAGCAACATAGAGAGCAATATGGCATCACCAGAACCTAGTGATTCTACAACAGCAAGACCTGAACATCACAACATAGAAGAAGCAGAAGAAAGTGACCTTAAAAATAACTTTATCAAGATGATAGAGGCCTTTAAAGAGGAAATGACAAATTCTCTTAAAGAAATTGAGGAAAAGGCCAACAAAAAATATTGGAAGAAATCAATAAATCCCTTAAAGAAAGCCAAGAAAACCATGAAAAAGCAATTAAACAGGTGAAGGAAACAGTTCAAGACCTGAAAATTGGAACAGAAAAAATGAAGAAGACACAAACTGAGGGAATGCTGGAAATAGAAAATCTGAGTAAACAAACAGGAACTATAGAAGCAAGCATAACCAACATAGATTTAATAACATAGATTCTTTTTTTTTATAACTGAGACATGTCTGCTCCTGGAAGCACCAGTCTCCTTCAGAGAAGATGATGAGCATTGAAGAAATTCCTTATGGAGTTTCCTTTCAGTGTGGCTAAAGTTAGCCACAGAGCAAGAAAGTGCCCTTGCCTAGACTGTCAACAGTATGCTGTCTAAAATGGACAAGAAGGACACAAAAGAAAGGAATGCCAATCCTTGCCAAGACAAGGTAGGAAGACTCATTAGAAAATCCTGCTTCACAGAAGAGTCTGTCAGATATGCTAAGCCTGTAAGCCAAAGATAGATGCCCCAATATTGTAGAGTAATCTTGGGTGACTTTTCAGGCAGCTAGCTGTTTCTGTCATTTCTCACATTTTTTGGAAGTCGCTTATTTGTACTTCCTGCTTACTTAGTTAATATTGTTTTCTTCTTGGGTCTCTGAGGGAGTTGAAGATTAGATAGTTATAGTTACAGCTTTCCTTGTTAACAAATTCAGAAAAGAAACTCACTAAAGAGGTGTAAAATATATAAATTTAAAAGACATCAAAAGGCAGTTTTCAATTAGCAATACAAGTTAGGGTAGAGACTCATGCCAGGGAAAGATGCACCCAACTCAACCCCAGTTGCCGGCCAGTGGGCAGGGCTCCTGTGGGAAGGCATCCCTTCTCCAAGACCCCCCAACAGACCCTGCAATCTACACACCCTGCCCCCACATCCATCCGCTCGAGACACCTGCCACATCCTGAGACTTAGAGACCAACCCCGAGCTCCCATCCGACCCAGAGCTCCCATCCGGCCCAAGACGTGAGTGACTCGGTTCATACCCAGGGAGGCCTGCCCCTAGGTCCCATCTCTGGGCCCAGCTGTTCCCGGGGAAGACCGGCCCAACTCAGCCCCAGTTGCTACCAACAGGCCAGCTCCTGTGGGAATGTTCCCCTTCTCCAAGACCCCCCAGTGGACCCTGTAATCCACATGCCCTGCCGCAACACCCATCCACCCGAGACCCCAGCCACTTTCCTGAGGCTTGGAGACCAACCCCCAGCTCCAATGAGGCCCACAGCACCATTCTGGCCAAGAGAGAGCTCCAATACAGCCCAGAGAGCTCCCATCCAGCCCAGAGCGCTCCCACCTGGCCCATAGAGCTCCCATCTGGCTCAGAGAAAGAGAGAGATCTCATTAGACAAAGAGCCATCATTGGACCAAGAGTAAACTCAGGAGACAGGGAATCTGCCAGCCCTGATTAGACCAAGAGTGGCTTTCTGAGAAGTAGAATCTGCCACCTCTCATTGGACCAAGAGAGGCTTCCTGAAATAAAGAGTCTGTCAGCTCTGACTGGATCAAGAGCCCTGATAAGACAAAGAATGAATCCGTGAGTCACAGAATCAACTAGCTTGGGTTGAGCCAAGAGCAGCTCACTGAGACACAGAAGCTGCCGGCTCCAATCAGACCAAGAGCTAAGATTAAACCCAGAAGGGCCCCCTGAGACACAGACACAACAAACACAGAGTGGACCAACAGCAACTCGCTCAGACACAGGCACCTCTTATACCTATTAGATGAGGAGGTGGGCAGATGTCAAGGCAGAAGTACATACAACAACATAAAGAGCAATACAGCATCACCAGAACCTAGCCCTCCTCCAAAAGCAAGACCTGAACATCACAAGGTGGAAGAAGCAGAAGAAAGAACCTTAAGAATAGCATCATGAAGATGCTAGAGGTGTTTCAAGAAAAAATGAAATTAAGGAAAAGATAAACAAAAAATGGAGGAAATCAATAAAGAAAATGAGAAAAAGTCAAACAAAAATGGGAAGAAATCTATAAAGAACTAGAGGACAAATAAAAAAGTAGAAGAAAACAATAAATCCCTTAAAGAAAACCATAAAAAAGCAATGAAACAGGTGAGGGAAACAGTTCAAGACCTGAAAAGGGAAATAGAAACAATGAAGAAGACTCAAACAGAGGGAATGCTGGAAATAGAAAATCTGAATAAATGAACAGGAAACACAGATGCAAACATAACCAACAGAATACAAGAGATGGAAGAGAGAATCTCTGGTGTAGAGGATACAACAGAGGAAATGGATTCGTCAGTCAAAGAAAATATCAATGCCAAAAAAGTCATAACACAAAATACCCAAGAAATCTGGGACACCATGTAAAGATCAAACCTAAGAATAATAGGGATAGAGGAAGGAGAAAAATACCAACTCAAAGGCACAGAAAATATATTCAACAAGATCATAGAAGAAAACTTTCCCAACTTAAAGAAGGAAATGCCTATGAAGATACAAGAAGCCTATAGAACACCAAACAGACTAGACCCCCCCAAAAAAAGTCCCCTCGCCACATAATAATTAAACCACTAAACATACAGACTAAAGAAAGAATATTAAGAGCAGCAAAGGAAAATGACCAAGTGACTTATAAAGGCAAACCCATCAGAATAAAACCCAATTTCTCAATGGTGACTTTGAAAGCCAGAAGGACCTGGACATATGTAATGAAGACACTAAGAGACCAGCCTAGACTAATATACCTAGCAAAACTTTCAATCATCATAGACGCAGTGAACAAGACATTCCAAGACAAAGCCAGATTTAAACAATACTTATCCACAAACCCAGTCCTACAGAAAACACTAGAAGGAAAATTCCAACCTAAGGAAGTCAGATACACCCATGAAAACACAGGCAATAGATAACACCACAGCAGTAAACCCCAAAGAAGAGAAGTACACACACACTACCACCAAAAAGATAACAGGAATGAACAATCACTGGTCATTAATATCCTTTAATATCAATGGACTTAATTCACCCATTAAAAGACACAGGCTAACAGAATGGATATGAAAGCAGGACCCATCTTTCTGCTGCATACAAGAAACACACCTCAATTTCAAAGATAGACACTACCTAAGAATAAAAGGCTGGGAAAAGTCTTTCCAATCAAATGGTCTTAAGAAGCAAGCAGGTATAGCCATCCTAATATCCAGCAAAATAGACTTCAAAATAAAATCAATCAAAAGAGATAAAGAAGGACATTATATACTCATCACAGGAAAGATCCACCAAGATGAAGTTTCAATTCTGAACATTTATGCCCCAAACACAAGGGCACCCACATATGTAAAAGAAACATTACTAAAGCTTAAACCACATATAAAACCCCACACATTAATAGTGGGAGACTTCAATACCTCTCTCACCACTGGACAGATATGCAAAATTGAAACTTAACAGAGGAATAAAGGACTTAACTGATGTTATGACTCAAATGGACTTAATCGATATCTACAGAACATTCGATCCTAACAAAAAAGAATTACCTTCTTCTCAGCACCCCATGGAACCTTCATTAAAATCGACCACACACTTGGCCACAAAGCAAATCTCAACAGATTTAAAAAAATTGGAATAACCTCCTGTGTTCTATCAGACCACCATGGTTTAAAGTTAGATTTCAACAATAACAAAAACTACAGAAAGCTTACAATCTCATGGAAATTGAATAATGCTCAACTGAATCACCAATGCGTCAAGGAAAAAATAAAGAAAGAAAGTAAAGACTTCCTAGAGATCAATGAAAATGAATATACCACACACCCAAACTTATGGGACACTATGAAAGCAGTGCTAAGACGGAAATTCATAGCACTAAATGCCCACATAAAGAAGTTGGAGAAATCTCACACTAGTGACTTAACAGCACACCTGAAAGCTCTAGAACAAGAAGAAACAAAGTCAACCAGGGGAATAGATGCCAGGAAATAATCAAATTGAGAGCTGAAATCAACA